GACCTTTTGTACTCAATGTTCTTTGAGTTTTGTTTAAGAAAATCTTCCGTAACTCGAGGTCTAAAAAGTATAGAACATTTCCACGATTGTAAAAATTCTGTTGGACGGGCCTAGTTACCCTAATAATTGGTAGTCTGTGCTAAAGACACAACATTAGGTTAAATTTTATCGCGGGATTAGATTCCTGGTGATACTATTAGTTCATGGCCTATAGAGAAAGAGTTTAAGACTGGTCCAGGTGGCCCGATAGTCTTGCTGCTGGTGGTAGTTGGCTTGCTTTTTAGGTCCTGCTGGTTAGTTCAGGCTGAGACCCCAGGGTTAAGGGAATACTACTTATATAACCTTTTTTTTTTTCCCGATGTCTGAGTGATATCAAAACGTTTGTAGCCACTGCCTTTTACAGGTATGGTTGTTATTTTTCAAATATACGATGATCATTACCATAATTTTAAACTCCACACAGATTCCACAATTCTCACTAGAGAGATCTGACACGCAAGGCAGTCTTGTCAACAGTTATTTCACTAAAGTGCAACCAAAGTTATCCAAGTCCAAGGACCTCTACTCTGGGATCCTCATGCTGCCACTAGCTTTTAAACCAAAAGCGAAAAACTCACAATTCCTCAATCTCAATTTACATACAATGGAAGACTCCTTTCCCCCTATTTTTTTCACTAGAAACTTGTGAAAGCTTAAGTTAGGGTAGAAACATTTTAAAGTCATTCAGAATTTTATATATATACAAATTAATCCCACTTCCTCCCCCAAATCTGGAGAGTATAGCAGGTCTTGTTTGTAGGCTTTTGCTTCATAGTTTAATTTTGGGGTGTTCAGGAAGACTCCCGTGGAAAATTATCTTCCAGGCTGAAATTCTATTATTATATTCACTTTGCGTTAAGCATCGTCTTTTCAAGGGTACCACTTTTACAATGCAATATCTCTCATTTGGAATGACAAGTCAGATTAGAGCGTGTCCTTTAAGGGAGACCATTTTGCATACTTTATTATTTATTTGGAGACTGGATGGCATGCTTACCTGATAGTATTTGGGTTAATAGTTATACTTTCCAGTTCAGCTAGCGGGACGGCAATGTACCCTTTGACTTTCTAGGAGTTGTTGTGTGATAGTTTGTGTTGTCTCCCTCAGGTTCTCTATCGTCCCTCTGATAAACGATATAGGACAGTTTATGAGACAAAGTGCTTCTCACTGACATAGCCAGATTTCTGGGGGCAGCTTTAGCTTTTTCCTACTATTGAGCTTTTTCCTACTATTACTGCCAGTGGGTGAACTTCACTACTGTGCTCTTATGATTGGTTCGATGTTGGGGTCATCGGATTCACGGAGAAAGTAGAAAAATACTAAAGATTAAGGATTCGCAGTTTAAAACTTACAAACAGGTCAAAAACAGTACTCGATTATTTCGGGGCCAAATTGGCATTCTGTGAAATGCCTTCCTTTCCTTCCTCTCTTTTGCTTATCAATTAACTTATAAGCACTTCTAATCGCCTGCGATCAGGGGCCATACAAAGACTTCGTGTTGGAGTAGAAAATTTACTGTCTCAGAATCATAGCGTGCGACCTCATGTACGTCGTGTAACCTTTCTGACAACCTATAAAACAAAGGACTAGACCTTCACTATCGCCTTAGGTTATGGAAGGGGAAGTCCCTTGAAGAGGGTTCTAACCTTAATGTATTGCTCCTTCCTAGCTTCTTTGGTTCAAAAGTTTGGTAGGGAAGTTAGACATTCTAGCTGAATGAGGTATTTGGATACTTTATCAACATATCAAAGCTGTACTACTTCAGTCTTCCTATTTCAACACTAAACTAACATCTTTTCATTTGTTATGCTTTTTATGGAGGATTTTAGCATTAGTTACCTAATTTTATTCACTGAACGTCCCTATTTTGTTGAAAACCCATTGAAAACCCATTGAAGTTGTATCTCTTGGACTAAAAATGAATACTATTTCTAGTCTAGTGTTCTTGCTAATATGTTGCTGTTTTCTTCAAATACCCCTTTTTCTTGTTCCTAAGTAAATTTGGGGCCGGCTAAACCACAAAGATATATGGCTTTCAATCTTCTAGGCCACGCCTCTTCTACTTCCTCCACCCCCCAGTCCCCTCCCCCTCACTTCTTAAAGCGCTGCAATTTGCTGCTGCCGCCATATTTTTTCTTTTCCTAGGGTGGAAACTTGGTAACACTTGATCTCTTTGCCCGTGTGGTTCTTTCTGGAACATTTTCCAGCCCCCAACCACCCATTATGGCATATTTCTTTAGAAAAATTCACCAAAATTCCATAAAATATTTTTAAAGTTATAAACTTTCTCCTAGTATTTTCTTGACACCTCCTCCCTCTTTTTCAGGTATTTAAGATATTTTTAGGCAAATTTTCATTTTAAAGGAATTTTCTTTGGAAATGACTTTTGGTTGACAACTCTGTTTTTTGTGGTTTAGTTTTCTGTTTTCTTCCCTTTTCTGTATTTTGCCCATCGGGGCTGCGGATACCTGATCTTCTTATTATTTTTTTGCCCAACGGGGCTGTGGATACCTGCCTTTTAATTTTTTTTTTTTTTAATTTGCCCATCGGGGCCACGGATACCTGCGTTTATTTTTTTTTTCCCCCTCAGCCCATCGGGGCCTCGGATACCTGCTTTTTTCCTTAAATTTATTTTTTGGCCCATCGGGGCCTCGGATACCTGCTTCTATTTTTTTTTTTCCTTGCCCATCGGGGCCTCGGATACCTGCTCTCATTTTTTTTTTCCTTGCCCATCGGGGCCACGGATACCTGCTTAGATTTTTTTTTTCATTGCCCATCGGGGGTTTTTATGGATAGAAAATTGTTGGTTTTTGTGGTTCGTTGTACTATCTGGAATGTCTACAAATTTTTGCTGCTAATCGTTTGGTGGTGTGTGAGTGGACCTACGGCTTTGGCTGGGAGATGACTTTGCAGTTAGGCTAGGAGCTTGGTCAGGCTGGGGAGGAAAGATGGCGGCCACTTTAGATTTGCCGCCCAGCTCTGCTGACGGTTAGTTGCTTGTGCTAAGAATAAACGAGTGAGAAAAGATGGATAGCGGGACAGGCAGAGGCAGTTGTATGCGCTGCATCAGCTAAATGTTTACAATGAGCTTATTGGAGGCTCGTTAGGAGCTTTGTATGAATTAGGGTATCGTGAGGTGGAGAAACAGGATGGTCCTGTGTTATGTTAAAAGAGGCTAATCGAAAATGGGAGGGAGGAAACTTAGGCACAGGGTTCAAAATGGCGATTTTGACTTTGCGGCATTGCTCAGCATGGCTGCCTGCTTTGTTAGTGTCCAAAATGGCGGACACAGTTTTGCCGCAGTGTTCAAGTGGCGGGAAGGCCACATCATGGTGGTGTCTTTGTTCTAGTGCGCAGCATGGCGGTGGAAATATTCTGTTACATGGCAAAAGATGGCGGCTGAAGTACTTGCCGCAGTATAAAATATGGCGGGCTTTTGTGTTTGCCGTGTGCATTTCCTGACAGGTTTTGCCGCAGGGACAATATGGCAGACCTTGTCATGTGGATATCATGGCAGTTCGTCACGTGGACGTCATGGCGGGGGGGTTTTTGCCCGGTACATTCTTGGCGGGCTTTGCACCAGGTGGGCCTGCCGCATTGTTAAAGATGGCGGGGTTTGCCGCGTTTGCCGGGTTTGCCGCGTTTGCTGCGTTTGCCGCGAAAAGTGGGAGAAAGGTGGGGTGGACAGTGTTGGATTGCCGCACGACCCACCCAATCAGAAGGGGTGGTAGAATTGGGAACAACCAATTAGTAGAGGATGGAATTAGACTATGAGTTAGTGTAGCACTGCACTGTGGTCTTTATTCAGCCAGTCAGGTGGAGGAAGCAGAGAGGCCACGTCTCTACGTCGGCTCCCAGTGGGTGGTAACCAAGGTCTTTCCAAGGACATTTGGCCTTTCCACCTCCCTCCCCTCTCACTTGCTCCCTCCCCTCCGGCATTGACTCTTGCAGTGCTGGATAGCTGGCTGTGCGGGCTGAACCTCACCCCATTCCTCTGCGTTGCTGCTGTGGCCTCAGGCTAGTCTACTCCCCCCTGGCTTCTGCTCTTCCGCACTGTGGCCAGGGGCAGTGCTCCATGCCTGCCAAGTATGAATATGGCGGTGAGTCGTGGCCAAGACCAGAATGGATCGCAGATGATCGTTGGCCAACAGGTGGCAGAAGAGGAATCCCTGTCTTCCTCAAGAGGAACACCTACCCCGTGGCTAATGCTGGGGTCGGATTTTGATTTCTATTTCTTGGATGTCAGTCATATATAGTTTGATTATGTGGTTTGCTAGTGTTCGATTTAAGCCTTAAGTGACTATATGGAAATGTATTTAGGGGCTTTATTTGTAGAATTCGTTTCAATTACACTTAATGAGTTTTCACTTTTGGGTCCCTTAAAATTCCTTAAAGTTTCCAATTTCTTTTTTATAAATTGTTTAAACTTTTTTTTTTGGCTTTAGATATTCAAAGTAAAATGATTTGGCACTTAAAACATTTTTACTAACTTTTTTACTTTGAAATTGACTGAATAAACTACTTCCCTTCGGATTTTTGAAGAGTCTTATAGCACAGAAATAGTTAATTGAAAATTTAACTGTGAGACCCTATGTAAATAGGAATATTTGAAGGTCCCCTCTGGTCCAGGCCTTGCTTTGTTCCCATCCTTCATGCTGCACTAATTGATGACATACCTATCAAGCAGAAAACTTTAATTGCTGTGGACTCGTTTCCTCTATTGAAACTTATTATATTGGAATATTAATGCCCACAGTTTCAGTTTTCTATGGTTCCCTGCCTACACGGCCCGCAGCCCTTACAACGTCCCTACCCCAGCCCTCCCCCCAGCCCCAGCCCCAGCCCCTGCCCCTGCCCCTGCCCAGCCCCAGCCCCAGCCCCAGCCCCTGCCCCGGCCCAGCCCCAGCCCAGCCCCTGCCCCGGCCCCAGGCCCAGCTCCAGCCCCAGCCCCAGCCCCAACCCCAACCCCAGCCCCAGCTCCCAGCTCCCCCAGCCCTGCTTCTATCTAAAGCAATTTGCATTGGTTCAGTGCTAAAAATAAGTTGGCCATTGCTCATCCATTAGACTAGGTTACCCTATCTGCCTCTAGCCTTGCTGGTCTTCAGTGCTGACTACCTGAGTCATCATTTTCAATTAATGTACACAATCCCGTTTGTCCACTGTCCCATGATAGAACAGACTCTGTGCACCATTTGTGTTAATGTTAGGAAATGTTAATTAATCCAGAGTTTCATATCAGACAGTTATTGTCCATAATTCTAGTTACTCAACATCTCAATCTACTGCCCTTAAGGAAGGAGAAAACATTCCTTTGTCATTGCTGCAGTAATCACAGTCACAATTTTCTGGGCAGTGCTCATATACTGTGCTGACCACCTAAACTCTTTGTACTGAGTGGAATTCTCATTGTTGATAATTCTGCCCATTGGATTAGATCCCAGTCCAAAACCCTTTTACATTCAGCAGGGGGCACAGGAAACCCAAGCCCTGTTCAACAGTAAACGGGCTCAGTCCCACTTGTCATAACCTTGTCCATTAAACAAAGGCACCCTACTTTTTTGCCTAGCTTCTGGGGAGTCCTGCTGTTCTTGGACAATTAAAGTACCAAATTGTTATTGTACATTGTCTTGCTCATTAATCAACAACCCTCCATCCTCTTTGAATTGCTACTAGGCAGTACTGGCTACCTGAGACCATGTTCCTTGAATTATTGAGTAGAACCCTAGTTGTCCGTATCCCTGTTCCTTATACAAGTAACAGCTTCTTTGCACTATAGTAGAGGTGCTCACCCTTAAAGCTCTTTACTTTGGAATATTAATGGATACAATCATTATTGTTCATGGACCTGCCTAACAGATAAGACCCACCCATGCTCTCTCCATTGCTCCTGGGTAGTACTTAGCACCTTGCATAGTATGTAAAATCCTCATTGCTCATGGTCCCACCCATTAGTCTAGGATATTCCTTACCTCTGTGCCATTACTTCGGAGGTGTTCTGATTACCCAAGTTCCCTTCTCTTAAAGTTGATGTGCATAATTGCATATATTCATGGTCCTGTGTATTAAAAAAATGGGATCTCACTCCATCCCACCCTCTGTGGGATACTGCTAACAAGTGCATAATATTAAAAAACTCAGCTCTTGGACAGTTAATTTGCACAGTTGCAGTTGTCTAAAGTCTTGTCTATTTGAAAGAGCCACTGTATCCCATTTGTATGCTATAATGTGGGCCGATCACTCAAGGACCCTTCTCTTTAATTGAAAATGTCCATAATTGCATTTGTCCATGTCCTGGGAAGAAGCCATACCCACTCCCTTTGTACTCCATCCAGGGGCCTTTACTACTCAAGAACTCTGCACTAGGACAGTTTATACACATAATCCTAATTGATTAAAACTGAGCCTTTTGTATCAGGAACCCTGCACAATCTTTACTTTACATCTGAAAGGTGCAAATCACCTAAGGACCTTGTCCTGAAATTGTTCATGTGCAAAATTGATATCCCCAATATCTCTTGTTAAAACAGGGTCCCATCCCCACCTAACTCCTTTTGCATTACTGTAGAGGGCACTTAGGACAGTTAATGTGCTCCTTTACAGCTGTGGTCCCTTCTGTTAGTCTAGGATCCCATCCCCTTCACTTTGCATTATTGCAGAGGGTACCTGAGACTATTAATGTACTTAATTGCAGGTAAAGTCCTTTCCCTTAGTCCAAGATCCCATCCACTACTACTCACTTTGCATTACCATAGGATACAAGGGACTGCTAATGGGCTTAAATGCAGTTACAGTCCCTTATGTTAGCCTAGGATCTCATCCCCACCTAACTCCATTTGCATTACTGCAGAGGGTACTTGGGACTGTTAATGTGCTTCATTTGCAGTTACAGTCCCTTTTGTTAGTCTAGGATCCCATCCTCACCTACTCCCTTTGCATTACCACAGAGAGTACATGGGACTGTTAAGTGCTTAAATTCAGATATTGTCCTTTATGGTAGTGCATGGTTTCATCTTTTTCCAACTCCCTTGGCATTACCAGAGAGTACTGGGGACTGTTAGAGCTTAAGTGCAGATACTATCCCTCATGTTAGTGTAGGGTTCCACCCACTCCAACTCCCTTTGCGTTACAGCAGAGGCTATGTAGGACCTTTAAGGTGCTTAATTGCAGATGTGGTCCATTCCGTTTGTCTAGGATCCCATCTCCTCCTATCCCTTTGCATTACTGCAGAGGACACTTGGGACTGTTAATGGGCTGATTGCATCTGTGGTCCTTTCTGTTAGTCTAGGATCCCGTGCCCTCCAACTCCCTTCGTATTACACAGGAAATACTTGGGACTGTTAATGGGCTTAATTGCACCTACAGTCCCTTTTGTTAGTAGGATCCTATGCCTTCCAACACCCTTTGCATACAGAGAGGATATCTGGGACTGTTAATGAGCATAATAGCAGCTACAGTCTGTTCTGTTCATCTAGGATCCCGTGGCCTCCAACTCCTTTTTGCCTTACAGGGTGGTACTTGGGACAGAAAGACAGAAACATGCTTAATTGCGTCTGTAGTCCCCTCTGTTAGTCTAGGATTCCATGCCCTCTAACTCCCTTTGCATTACACATGGGGTTCTTGGGACTGTTAATATGCTCAACTGCAGCTACAGTCCCTTCTGTTTGTCTAGGATCTCATGCTCTCTAACTCCTCTTGTATTACTAGGTGGTATTTGGGACAGAAAGGTGCTTAATTGCATCTGTGGTCCCTTCAGTAGTCTGGGATCCCATGCCCTCCAACTCCCTTTATGTTACGGGGTACTTGGGACTGTAAATGTGCTTAATTGCACCCACACCCTTGTGTTAGACTAGGATCTTATGTCCTTCAATTGCCTTTACATATAGCAGGAGGTACCTGGGACTCTTAATGTGCTCAATTGCAGCTATAGTCTCGCTGTTAGTCTAACAACCCATGTCCTCCAACTCCCTTGCCTTACTGGCTGGTATTTGACACAAAGGTGCTTCACTGCATCTGTGGTCCCTTTTGTTTGTTTGGAATCCCATGCCTTCCAAACCCTTGGCATTACATGCGGGGTACTTGGGACTGTTAGTATGCTCAATTGCACCTGCAGTCCTTTCTGTTTGTCTAGGATCCCATGCCCAGCAAATCCTTTTGCATTACGCAGGGCGTCCTTGGCAGTCTTAAAGTGCTCAGCTGTAGCTACAGCCCCTTCTGTGCTTCTAGTATCTGATGTCCTCCAACTCCCTTTGTATTACACAGGGGACATTTGGGACAGAAAGGTGCTTGCTTAATTGCCTCTGTAGTCCCTTCTGTTAATCTGGAATCCCATCCGCTCCAACTCCCTTTGCATTACACAAAGGAATACTAGGGACTCATTCCCAAATACCCTGTGGTGCCCTTCAACTCCCTTTGCATTACACAAGAGGTACTTGGGACTGCAAATGTGCTTAACTGCAGCTACAACCTTTTGTTAGTCTTGGATCCCATGCCCTCCCACTCCTTTTGCATTACACAGAGGATACTTAGGACTGTTAAATTGCTCAATTGTAGCTACAGTCCCTTCTGTGCTTCTAGTTTCTGATGCCCTCCAACTCCCTTTGCGTTACACGGGATATTTGGGACAGAAAGGTGCTTAATTGCATCTGTGGTCCCTTCTGCTAGTCTGGGATCTCATTCTCTCCCACTCCCTTAGCATTACACACGGGAGACTCGGGACTGTTAATGTGCTGTACTGCAGTTACAGTCCCTTTTATTGGTCTAGAATCCTGTGCCCTCCAACTCCTTTGGCATTACTGGTTGGTTTTTGTGACAGAAGGTGCTTAATTGCATCTGTGGTCCCTTCTGTTAGTATGAGAGCCCATGCCCTTGAACTCCCTTTACATACACCTGAGGTACTTGGGAATGTAAATAGCCTAATTGCAGCTACAGTCTTTGCTATTTGTCTAGGATCCCATGCCCTCCAACTCCTTTTGCATTACGTAAGGGATACTTGGGGTTGTTAAAGTGCTCAACTGTAGCTACAGTCCTTTCTGTGCTTCTAGTGTCCAATGCCCTCCACTCCCTTTGCATTACATAGGGGATATTTGGGACAGAAAGGTGCTTAATTGCATCTGTGGTCCCTTCTATTAGTCTGGGATCCCATGCCCTCCACCTCCCTTGACATTACACGCGAGGTACTTGGGACTGTAAATGTGCTAAAATGCAGCCACTCCCTTCTGTTAGTCTAGGATCTCTCATCCTCCAACTCCCTTTGCATACAGCAGAGGGTACCTGGGACTCTTAATGTGCTCAATGGCAGCTACAGTCCCTTCTGTTAGTCTCAGATCCCATGCCCTCCAACTCCCTTTGCATTACACACGGTGTTCTAGGGACTGTTAATGGCCTAATTACAGCTGCAGTCCCTTCTACTTGTCTAGGATCCCATACCCTCTAACTCCTTTTGTGTTACACATGGGGTACTTGGGACTGTTAGTAGACTCAATTGCACCTACAATCCTTTCTGTTTGTGTAGGATCCCATGCCCTCCAACTACTTTTGCATTAGACAGGGGGTACTTGGGACTCTTAAAGTGCGCAATTGTAGCCTCAGTCCCTTCTGTGTTTCTAGTGTCTGATGCCCTCCAGCTCCCTTTGCATTACACAGGGGATATTTGGGACATAAAGGTGTTTAACTGCATCTGTGGTCCCTATGTTATTCTGGGGTCTTATGCTTTCCAATTCCCTTAGCGTTACACACAGGATACTTGGGACTCTTAATGTGCTCCATTGCAGCTGCAGTCCCTTCTATTAGTCTAGAATCCTGTGCCCTCCAACATTTTTGCATTACCAGGTGGTATTTGGGACAGAAAGGTGCTTAATTGCATCTGTGGTCCCTTCAGTAGTCTGGGATCCCATGCCCTCCAACTCCCTTTACATTACACAAGAGGTACTTGGGACTGTAAATGTGCTAATTGCAGCTACACCCATCCTTTGGTCTAGGATCTCTCATCCTCCAACTCCCTTTGCATACAGCAGAGGGTACCTGGGACTCTTAATGTGCTCAATGGCAGCTACAGTTTCTTCTGTTAGTCTCAGATCCCATGCCCTCCAACTCCCTTTGCATTACACACGGTGTACTAGGGACTGTTAATTGTCTTAATGGCAGCCACAGTCCCTTCTGTTTGTGTAGGATCCCATGCCCTCCAACTCCCTTTGTATTACGCAAGGGATATTTGGGACAGAAAGGTGCTTGCTTAATTGCATCTGTGGTCCCAAAACAACATATTGGCCTGAGATCCCATGCCCTCCAACTCCCCTTGCATTCCGCATAGGTTATTTGGGACTGTTAATGGTCTTAATGGCAGCCACAGTCCCTTCTGTTAGTCTGGGATCCCATGCCTCCAACTCCCTTTGCATTTCCCTGTGGTATTTGGGTCACAAAGGTGCTTAACTGCCTCTAGGATCCCCTTCTGTTATTCTGGGGTCCCATGCCCTCCAACTTACTTTACATTACACAAGAGGTACTTGGGACTGTAAATGTGCTAATTGCAGCCACACCCATCCTCTGGTCTAGGATCTCTGGTCCTCCAACTCCCTTTGCATACAGCAGAGGGTACCTGGGACTCCTAATGTGCTCAATGGCAGCTACAGTCCCTTCTGTTAGTCTCAGATCCCATGCCCTCCAACTCCCTTTGCATTACACACCGTGTACTAGGGACTGTTAATTGTCTTAATGGCAGCCACAGTCCCTTCTGTTTGTGTAGGATCCCATGCCCTCCAACTCCTTTTGCATTACGCAGGGGGTCCTTGGGAGTCTTAAAGTGCTCCATTGTAGCTGCAGTCCCTTCTGTGCTTCTAGTGTCCGATGCCCTCCAACTCCCTTTGTATTACACAGGGGATATTTGGGACAGAAAGGTGCTTGCTTAATTGCATCTGTGGTCCCAACAACATATTGGCCTGGGATCCCATGCCCTCCAACTCCACTTGCATTCCGCATAGGTTATTTGGGACTGTTAATGGTCTTAATGGCAGCCACAGTCCCTTCTGTTAGTCTAGGATCCCATGCCCTCCAACTCCCTTTGCATTTCCCTGTGGTATTTGGGTCACAAAGGTGCTTAACTGCCTCTGGGATGCCTTTCTGCTAGTCTGGGGTCCCATGCCCTCCAAATTACTTTACATTACACAAGAGGTACTTGGGACTATAAATGTGCTAATTGCAGCCACACCCATCCTCTGGTCTAGGATCTCTGGTCCTCCAACTCCCTTTGCATACAGCAGAGGGTACCTGGGACTCCTAATGTGCTCAATGGCAGCTACAGTCCCTTCTGTTAGTCTCAGATCCCATGCCCTCCAACTCCCTTTGCATTACACACCGTGTACTAGGGACTGTTAATTGTCTTAATGGCAGCCACAGTCCCTTCTGTTTGTGTAGGATCCCATGCCCTCCAACTCCTTTTGCATTACGCAGGGGGTCCTTGGGAGTCTTAAAGTGCTCCATTGTAGCTGCAGTCCCTTCTGTGCTTCTAGTGTCCGATGCCCTCCAACTCCCTTTGTATTACACAGGGGATATTTGGGACAGAAAGGTGCTTGCTTAATTGCATCGGTGGTCCCAAAACAACATATTAGCCTGGGATCCCATGCCCTCCAACTCCCTTTACACTACACATGAGGTACTTGGGAGTGTTAACATGGTTAATTGCAGCCAGCATCCCTTCTGTGTGTGTAGTTTCCTATGCTCTCCTATGCTGTTTGGATTACAGCAGCATGTACTTGGTACTGTTAAACTGCTTAATTGGAGGTGTAGTCACTATCGTGGGTTTAGGATTCCCATGACCTTCAGTCACTTTACATTACCTGGGCAGTTTCTTGGATTGTTATGGTGCTTAAGTGCAGCTGCAGATCCCTTCTGTTACTCGAGGATTCTATCCACTCCCTCTACATTACTTGGGAGGGTTTTGGGTCTTTTAAATAGCTCAATTGCAGCTCCGGTCCCTTCTGCTAGTCTGGGATCCCATGCCCTCCAATTCCCTTCTCATTATCACAGATGGTACTTGGGCCTATTAATGGGCTGAATTGCAGCTGTGGTACTTTCTGTTGGTCTGGGATCCTACACGCTCCAACTCCCTTTGTGTTATAGGTGAGCGTGCCTGGGATTATTAACCGGCTAGACTGCAGCTGTTGTCTCTTTTGTTTAGGACCTCACACCCTTCTACTCAGCATTACAGCAGAGGGTATTGGAACTGTTAAATGTTCAATTGTAGCTGTGGTCCCTTCTGTTTTCTAGGATCCCATGTCCTCCACCTACCTTTACATCGCCTGGGAATATATTTGGGATGGTTAAAGTGCTCAATTGCAGCTGTGGTCCCTTCTGCGTATCTAGTTTCCCATGACCTCCTACTGCCTTTACATTACCTGGGAGTGCATCTGGGACTGCTAAAGTGCTTAGCTGCAGTATAGTCCCTTCTGTTAGTCTAGTTTCCCATCCCCTCCCATTCTTTGCATTACAGCAGAGGATACTTGGGACTGTTAAAGTGCTTAATTGCAGCTGTGGTCCCTTTTGTACTCCAGGATCCCATGACCTCCCACTTCCTTTATGTTACTAGGTGGGCATTTGGGACTGTTATGGTGCTTAATTGCATTTGTAGTCCTCCTGTTAGTCTAGGATCCCATTCCTTCCTACGCACTTTGCATTACCACAGAGGGTACTTGGGACTGTTAAGGTTCATCCCATCCTCTCACTCCCTGTTAGTATTACAGCAGAGGGTGCTGAACACCAAAGCTCTTCTTTTGCCCTGTTAATGTGCATAATTGCATTTGTCCCTCTTCCTCTGCAGTAAAGACCTCACTCATTTCCCTTGTATTCAGCAGCGGATGCCCTTTCCTCAAGACCTTTGTACTAGGATAAAGTGAACCATGGTAATTGATTGACCAAAACTATGCCTTTCATTTAAGACCTCTGTACTCTCTGTTTTACAAGAAGGTGTACCTACTACCTCAGTTACTTTTTTGGGGGACTATTTATGTGCAAAATTCCAATGTTCATGGGCCCCCCTGTTAAACTAATATCCCACCCTATTACATTATAGCAGGGGATGCTAGGGACCCAAAGTCCTTCTCTTGGGACTCTTAATGTGCCTGTGCCCTCCTGATAAGCTAATATCCTGACTTGTTAGTATTATAGCAGGAGGTACTGACCACCTGAAGTCTTTCTTTTGGACAGTCAACGTGCAGAGTTGCACTAGGATCCCATCCCCATCACACCTCCTTTGCATCAGGGGTGCTGACCAATCGTGGCTGCTTCTCCTGTACAGTTAATTGTGCATAATTACTGTAATCCCTGCTCCCTTATGTAAGAATAGGATCCCATTTCCTTGCCCCATTTACATTACTGCAGGGTCTTCTGACTAGCCAAGATTCATTTTCTTGGACTGTTACTATGCATACTTATATTTGCTCCTATGCTTGTATACCAGGTAAGGACTCTCCCCATTCTATTTATATTCTAGCAGGAGCTGCCTACTACTAAAGACCTTACACCCTGCTGCAGTTAATGTGCACAATCTTAGTTGTCTTGTACACACTCTCAGTTGTCTACAACTGTGCCTTTTAGATCAGGACACCTGCACTTATTGAAGAAGAGGTTACTGACTACCTTAAAGCCCTTCTCTTGGGAACGTGGATATGTGTAATTACAGTCATCCATGGTCCTTTGAGTTAACTTGGGTCCTTGAGTTTTCACACCCTCTTTGCTTTACTGCATGAGATACTGTGCACTTAAGGCCCCTTTCTCAAACTGTGAATGTGCATAATGATATTTACATTAGGATCCTTCCCCTTCACACTCCCTTTGAAGTACTGCAGGAATTCTGACCTAAGGTCCCATTTCTTGGCCTGTTAATATTCACTATTATATTTGTCTGGGTTCCTGTGCACTAGACAAGGGCAGCTCCTCTCCCCACTTTCCTTTTTTTCCAGCAAGGAGTGCCCTCTCCACAACACTATTACATTTGGACAATCAAGGTGCACAATTTTAATTGACCACACCTATGGACCTTAGATATTAATATGCATAATTGCACATGGCTCATCCCATTTGAATAAGATCTTACTTTCTCAGACCCCTTTTACAGTACAGCAGAGGTACTGACCCCTAAGGCCTTTTTTCTTGGCCTGTTAACATATGTGTGATTATGTTTGTCTGGATTCCTGTACACTAGACAAGCCTCCCCCCACCCCCCATCCCTGTCTTCCTTTCCCTTTCAGCAGGGGGTGCCTCCTCCATTATACCATAACTTTTGGACAGTCAAGGTGCACAATTGTAATTGACCACAACCGTGCACCTTAGACATTAATGTGCATGACTGCACATGGCTCAGCTCATTTGAATAAGAGCCTACGCTTTCAGACCTTTTGTTGTACAGCAGAGGTACTGATCACTAAGGCCTCTTTTAATGGCTTGTTATTGTGCATAATTGGATTAATACATGTTCCTGTACAGTAGATAAGGACACCCCTCTCCCCATTCCCTTTGCCTTTTAGCAGGGCCTGAGCACTACTTTAAGATCCTTATATTAACATGGTACATGGTTTTAATTTACCACACCGTGTCTGTTGGACGTTAATGTACATAATTGCAACTTAGTTCATCCTACTCTGTTGCCCTTCATTTGCAGTATACCAGGGTCATTGACCCCTCAATCCCCTTTCTCGATCTGTTAATGTGCATAATTGCATTTGTCTGGGTTCTTGTGCACTAGACAAGGACATGTCCCCCCACCTCCTATGCCTTCCAGCAGGTGGTGCCCACTGCTAAGATCTTTACATTTGAATAGTTACTGTGCAGAATTGTAGTTTTCCACAACCCTATCACTTCCAGGACTATTGTACCTCGTTTGTTCTACTGCAGGGGATACTGTTTTTCCCCAAGGCTCCTTCTAGTGGACAATTAATATACATAATTGAAATTGTCTATTGTCTTCAGGAGACTAAGGTCAAACCCCTTCAGCTTCCCTTTGTAGTACAGCTGATTGTGCTGAGTAACCAAGGCCCTCTTCTTTTGGACTGATAATACGTGCAATTGCATTTTTTCCTATTCTTTGCACTAGATACGGACCCCACCTACTTCCTTAGCATTTTCAGCAGGCAGTGCCCACTACTTAAGACTCTTTCACTTGGAAAGTTCATGTGCACAAGTGCAATTTTCCAAGCATGTCTTATTCCAGACCCCCGGACCCTCTTTGCTTTAGAGCAAGGAGATGCTATTCACTTAATGCCCTTTCTTTTGGACTTTAATGTGCATAATTGCAATTGTCCATCTCTTCTGCTGGACTAAGATTGCATCCCTCCATACCCCCTTTGCAGCAGGGGCATGTTAACCATGAATAAGTTCTTCTCTTGAGATTATTAGTGTTCATAATTGTACTTGTCTGTGGACCTGTGCAGTAGAAAGGATGCTCTATGTCCCTAGCGTTGCCTTTAGATTGCTGCTGAGGAGTGCTAACTATCATGACCTCAGCTCTTGGACACTTAATATGCGCCCAATAACAATTATCAAAAGTACTGGTCATTAGATATGACCCCTGAATCCTCTTTGTATACATCAGGGGTACTGACTAAGGCCCATTTCTTGGACTGTTAATGTGAATTTTTGCAATTATCTGTGCCTCCTTCCATTAGAGTAGGAAATCATTCCCTTACACCCCCTTTGCATTAATGCAGGGGCTGCTGACCACACAAAACTTCTGGGACTGTTAATGGGCACAATGGCAATTAGCAATGGAATTTCCCTTCCTGGCCTTGTTAGACAAGCACTCCCAGCTCCAATTTCCTGTGGCATAATAGGGTATAAACATTGCAGTGCGCCATGAACCAGTCCGTCAAACAGCGACCCATACTCCCACTCCTTTTGCATTGCTCTAGTGTATAAAATTCCAAATAGTCATGGTCTTAACTGTTATCTTCCCTTCTCCCACCCCTTGCCTGCCCTTGGACCCTCCTTATGGACTATTAATGCTCACAATTTTAGCTGTCCATGTATCCAGCCATTAAATAAGACCTTACTCCCTCACCCTGTCCCCCCTTCACCCCTTGCCCCTTTTTACATTGTTGCTGGGGAATGTTACCTGGGCTAGGCCCTTTCTCTTGGACTTAAAACGTTAACAATCCCAGATGTCATTGGTTTACCCACTTTGTACTGCTGTAATGCCTCAGTTACACTTTCCTTGATCCTGCCCATAAGACATGGACCCCTCTACTTCCTTCTTTGCATTGCTTATGAGTAGTGCTGACTACCCAAAGCCCCTTCGGTGTTATTAATTAACACAGTACTGATTGTCCCATTTTTCAGTCCATCAGCCCAAGATCTCCCTATGACTTTGATGTTGTATGTTTGTGCAGTGTTGACTACCAAAAGCAGGCCTGAACTAGGTGGATGGGCCTTCACTCCTTTTCCTGCATTTGTTAATGATCCCAATTCCAATTATTGTCACATTCTGGGGAGAGGAACCTTCCCTGCCCACCTCTGTTACTGACTTACTGGGCAAAAGGCTCAAGGCAAGTCAGGCCCAAGGAGTTGGATTGCCGCCCTTTAGTTTGGATTTTCAATATACATAAGTATTACTTGAAAATTTTCTCCCCAGGAAGGAAGGTTAGCACTCTCTGCATTCTTCCTTCCAGAGCAGATTGCGCAGCTAAGAATCTCTCCTCTTGTATATTGCTATTGTACAGTGCCAATTGCCAGGATACAACCAAAAAGTTGCTGTTAATTTTTTATTTTTTAAGAAAGACATCTGGTTTACAAGGTGGAATTGATAACCTGGTCATTAAATTTTTGAAGTCTAAAAACCCATTTATACTATGTACCTGATGACCAGTGTCTCTCATTTTAGTAAGGGTGGTGGGTGTGTGGATGGACCACTGTGACTCTTGCTATTTTGGTGTTACCAAAGGAGTTCTAGAGTGGAACTCTTAAGACCAGTATCTTTGGGCTCTACCACCATTTTAAAACCATTCCTTGTTTGGGCTTTACCACCATTCACTCTTAGAAAAACTACCTAAACGTTCTAGTCCTTAAATTTCTTCATGTGGAGCACCAACCATCCCCTACTTATTTCAAGAAGATTGCCGTAAAAAGATGAAATGAGAGAACGTATGCTGAGGTGCTTTTGAAAACCACAGGTCACGTTATAATCTATTATATAAAATGCACCTTGCTTAATTCTGCTCATTTAAAGTAGCCTGAAGCACCACACTGAAGTGAGGACTTAGAAATGATGGGACTAGTTTCCCTGTTTTATATTAAAAGAAAAATAAGCCAATATCTAATTATTCTTCTGGATACAAATTTCAACAGTCAGATAGCTGCCTGGTAAAAATGAATACTATCCCAGCCTCTAGTGTACAGGGTGTTTGGTGGCAGACAAGTATTTAATATGGAACTGCTGAAGCAAATAACTAGTCATCACAACAGCAGTTCTTTGTAATCACTGAAAAAGAATACTATTCCTCCATCGGCCCAGCTCAGGGTACAGTTGGCACTTCTAGCTCCTTGGACAGCTGTAAGAAGAGTCTCTGGCTCTTTAGAATTCTGTAAGTACTACTTTGTAGCTACTAAGTAATCTTTTCCCTGTTCTATTTTCTGTCTCTCAGATGTTACCCATAGAAAAGTCAGAGGGGCCTATAAGTCTCCTTTCCTGTTCCCACCTCATCTGCAATTTATATATATGTGTATTTCACCATATGAGTTAACCAACAGAATTACAGAATTAATATTGTGTACCTGGCCCTATACTAGGTCACACTGAAGTGAGGGGTGGAAATGATATAGTCCTATATAATCTCATCCCTGAGATGGCTGTATTGTTGAGGAGCTAATATAAGCACACTTTAAATAACTAGGAAATGATAAGCAAGTGCTGTCTTAATGTGTATTATAAGTTACAGAGTTTTAAGAAGAGAGCCCATTTGGGTTTGAAATTGATTGGATAAAGTTAAAGGAGGTGGGTTTACTTTTTCTCTTTGGTTCAGGATATGATTAATATTGCAGCCATCTGGGTAGTCCAGTTGGTTTATTTTAACGTCATTTGGTTTTACCTCTTTTGGCGGCATAGCAAGGGATAAAGCATAGCCATTGTGTTTGGCTATATGCTAAGGCTAGCAAATTGTCAATTGTTAAATCTCATTATAAACTTGAGCTTTTTGAAGTTCAAGTATTGGGGGTATAAATATGATTAGTTTGTTCTTTGTACCTTTTTGTTCTGTCTCTGCCGAAGAACAGATGAGAGTAGTGATGCCTTTTTAGTTTGAGATATTTGTGGAACCTATTTGGCAAGAGGGCAATGGAGAAGTCTAAGTTTTATAAGAAAACCCATTACCTTGCTTACTTTGATGAAGTTGAAATACCTTCTTCCCCTTTGTCTTTTTCAACAAGTACCTTGGTAAGCTAAAAAGCTTAGACTCTCCAATGTAAAACAAACACAAAGGTCCAGCTGAAAAAATGTTAACATCAAATTTGAAACATTTTTTGTGCACATCCCTGCATCTTAGCAGGAGCAAGAGGAACCATATTAATGAGCTGGGCTTTTCTCTTACTGCCCATTTTAGTTAAATCCATAATTCCTCACAGTTTGTTCCTCCTTCCCCCCATTGCCTAAAGACATTATTTGCCTGACTAACTGGGGTAATAAACAAATGGTCCTGAGCCTTCTTGGAAACATGGTCTATGCCATTGTTTCTCAAACTGAAGTAATCTGTCAGGATGAAACATCTTTTAAAGGAAAAAAATTTTTTGAGATCCTAAAGAATATATGTTTTGAGGAATAATGACTTAAGAAAGTTATTTGAAATGTAAACATGATTTCTAATTTCAAGATATGTTTGTCAAAGATATACAGTGTTTTATATATAATATATGTAGGACTTGGGGATCCATAAGAATATATCCACAAACCCCCAGGGTTCTTATCACCCCAATTTGAGAAACACTGGTCTACGCTTTATGAAATCTTTTATCGCTACTAATCAAATTATCGTTCAGTACTAACATACAACTATAACTGTTTACTGGAATTTGTTTTAAAGGGATGAATTCTCAGCCGGTTCTGTACCCCCACTTGAGGAAGGATGGACCAATTTTAGGTGGACTGAAGCCTGCGCTAGACAGCATCCAAAGGTGAATCTTGGAGTTGTATTTCAATTCATTGCTTGAAATAAAATCTCTAGCAGTTGTAAAAAGGGATGCTTTGGAAACGTGGGCATCTTCAAAATTGGGATAATCCTTGTGTCAATAAATAGTTATTGGGCCAGGCACTGGAGTCGATAGCAAAACCAAAGACATGATTCCTGTCAAGGAATTTGCTATATGATGGAAGATGCAGAAATGAACGAATCATTATGGTGTTGGGCAATACCATCAAAACGTTGGGACATTCTGTGGGGCATAGAGGAAGAAGAGTAAGGGAAACGTTCTTACTGAGCAAAGTGATGGCAAGGTGTGCCTAGGCAGCACCTTGGTCACTTGGCTCAGGGGATGTGTAAGCCAAGGGCTTACAGGCAGTACTCCAATATTCCTTGCTTTTTGCAAGTGCATTTTAAAGAAGCCCATGTTCTTTTAGATGGAGTGAATCACTATTCTTTTTCATGGGTTTGTGGGCAGAAGGAGATACTGGCAAAATTATGAAAAAGTTCTGAATTGGGAGTAGGAACACCTAGCCTTTGGACCTGGCTCTAACCTTGGATCAAATCACCATGAATCACAACTTCAGTGTCTAGGGACTGCTGATGAATTAAGACAAGGACTTGAATTGAATACCTCAACCCCTGAAAATGACATTTTGTCATTTGGAAAATTTTCAATGGATCAAAAAGGAAAGCAGTTAAAATTCTTTGGGCATTTCTCTAAATGGTTATTGTGATTTCTAACTTTCCTCCTTATAGAACCTTAATATATAGATTGGAGGAAATTTTCTGACCCTGGTTTTGTGTATTTTTTCCCATACCCTTCTTCAGCTTTTCTACCTATCTTTCTGTAACCTATATACACATTTCTCTAACCACCTCCCTAAATTATAGAAGATCATAAGACCTAGAGCTGTTATGATTAAGCATTCATAATTTCTTTTCAGGGTTTCTGAGCCCTGGATATCAAATGTATACCTGAATAGGAGTTTGTGACTTGAAGTAAAGAATTAAAAGTTCAGGGCTGGCTCCGTGGCCGAGTGGTTAAGTTAGCGCGCTCCGCTGCGGTGGCCCAGGGTTCGGATCCTGGGCGCGGACATGGCACTGCTTGTCAGGCCACGTTGAGGCAGCGTCCCACATCCCACAACTAGAAGGACCTGCAACTAAGATATACAACTATGTACTGGGGGGTTTGGGGAGATAAAGCAGAAAAAAAAAAAAAGATTGGCAACAGTTGTTAGCTCAGGTGCCAATCTTTAAAAAAAAAAAAAGAATTAAAAGTTCATCTGTGGTGGCTGCTAAATTATTCTTATTTGTGAAAGTGTCCTGGGAAAGTTTTCGCCAGCTCAAAGAGAAGCCAACTGATTATCTGAAGTGAGCTGTTTCCCCAAACTTTATAATCTTGGATGGCAAAGAGCACTGACGTGTATGGTTAAACAGAGCTAATACCTTCCTCTGCCTCTAGTCTTAGAAACTGGATTGGAAAAAAACTTGATTTTCCCACTACCATATTTTTAGTTACAGACAAGTAACATTTAACAGTGGTTTCCTTCAAAATCTAACTCAAGTTGGATCTCAAGTATTTGTTTAAGACTTAACTGACCTGCTGAATTTAACAAGTTAAACGTCAGTGGCCATGCACAGTTATATATTGTTGTATAGGTGCCATTGAGTTAACTATGTTAATGGTGTTTCAGGAAGGAGTGGAGTAAATATGTATAAATATGTATGAACTGCCATGTTGAACCAGAAGCCTGTATTTGGGATGAAGAATCTAATCTTAGGTTAAACAAGGATGGGGAAGGATGTTGCCAAGAGATTTTGAAGCCTGTTCTGCTCATATTGAGAACATCACAGAACTCCAGTTTGGTTTTACTGGACATGTTATCTAGAGAATAGAGTTGAATAAGTGATCTTTCACATACTACTGTTAGAGTTTGTTTGATACTGGCATAAAGGTCCTTATGGTAATTTCTGATCAAGCCATACTTGGTGCTTTCCACACCATACCATACCATATATAGTGTTTTCAAGATTGCAAACCTGGCTTAGACCTGCTTCAGTGAGCTCCTATCCTACAGTAAAGGCAGCTAGCCAATTATTAAAAATGGTCAAGGCACTCGTACCTCCAGGCAGTAGTAGCAATTGCTCTGCTACCTTGTATCTTGAAGTATTTTCAGCAAGAGGATGACCTTTAGGCCACAAATTTAGTCAGCTTTTAATAAGGTGGGTATTGGTTTCACCCATATTTTCATTTAGTTCTTTTCTACACTAGCTTAATCATTCTGTGATAGTGCCAGTGCTCGCCTTACAGGACGTTAGGGAGATCAAACAGGCTAGAGAGAAGAGACAGGAGACACCTATATCTGATGCTTCAGGTTAATACTTCCTAGTTTTTTTCTTGTTGAGGTTTTCTCAACAATTATATATCCCGCTGAACCCTGTCTTTCTTCTTCAGGACATTCAAGCATGTGAGACCTGAGGACTGCAGGCAGCTCTAAGAAGCTCCACATTCATCAGATCTTTCCTTCGGAGAATCTGGATAAGCTCCAACTGGTCTTAAGAGGATGGCTTGCAGGCCACCTGGAGAAAAAGGTAGTTTGGGGTGCTCGTTCTTGTGGGAATTCTGTCTTTGGCTTTAAGGGCTTTTAACTTCCTGCAGCTCTCCTTTTTAAAACAGAACATGAGCTAGTTCTTATCAATTCCTACACAGGTTTTTTTTTGGCATATACACATACATTTTAACTTTCAAGAATGAGTTTCATCTATTATTTCATTTATCCCTAAGAGCTAGGTTACAGTGAAGTCTGTAAGGGCAAGCATCTTGATCCCCATTTCATAAATGAAGAATGAGAGATGCAAAACAATAAATTACTTTCTTTCATATCTCATAGCTACTTAGCAGGAGATAGAGAATGAACCTATGCCTTCTGTTTAGTAGGCCTTGAAATTATTTCCACCTTCCTTTGGGAGACTGGTGGTAAGTGCTGAGTAGTACCAACTTATTTGTGTCATAGCCTTGTTTTGGCAGGCTTAATTCCACTGTCACTGTCATTCTCTTGTTTTAAGAAGTTGAGGGTTTGTTAATTTGAAAAACTATGAAATTGCTAAAAGGTAGAATAACAGAGACCCAAGGGCCTGTGTAACTAGATCCCTAGCTTTCTGTACCTTGTTTTTCCTTTTGCATAGATTTGCTTAGCTGTTGTGATAACTGGGGTTTTATATGCCTGTAATAAATCTTGACTTCTCTGAATATCCTGGGACTCTCATGGTGTCCCATTTATATAAGCTGTTTAAGAAATGTACCATGTAGGTTGAGTAGAAAACAATTCTGTTTACCTTGGCAGTGCTCCAGCATCTTACTACTTAACGTACAAATTAAAAGAGGAGAATGATATAAAACTAGGCAAGAGAGAGGCACTTTGAGTTAGATTGATCAGTTCTTAAAACTGAGCAATGTGAAGAAGAGTTCTTACAGGACTCAGAGGGTCAGACCACATCGTAGCTTTTCTAAGTAACTTGATGACTCTCTTCGTTGAGAAAGTGTTAGCTTCTCCTTCTGTTTTCTCTTGATTTCTCACCTTCACTATATTTCATGATCAGAACACTCAGACATTAATAATCTGCACTCTAGAGGATTGCTCATCAGTGGACACTGGAAAATAAAGCACAGTGTGGGAATTTTGGTAATTATTCAGCTCTTAATTGCTCTTGGAGATGAGGGGAAATAATAGAAGGAAAGGAGCTGGAATGAATAGAAAAATTTGCATGTTGCTAGGCTTGTAGCTAGAATATGGAGTTCTACACAGTTCCAAATCTCCACCCCTCAATCCATCTGAAGAAAAGGGTAGACATAGTTTAATTTAACCACTAGTTGCTCATTGGGATAGACTTTCCCACTGTATTGCATTTCAGTAATTTAGTTTTCTTTATCTCTTCTCTAGGTCTTCCTCAGAAGAATAGGCTTGTTGCTTTATGGTGTTAGTGACCCATTCCCTTTGACGATCCCTAGGTGGAGATGGGGCATGAGGATCCTCCAGGGGAAAGGCTCACTACCACTGGGCAACAAGCCTAGGCCAGGAGGTTCTATCAAGATTCTTTCCTGGGCCCAGGTAGGAAGATGAAGTCTCAAGACAGCTACCACACATCAGAGGTGGGTAAGCTGTCCCTAAAAGCATAATAAGTGGTCTTTAATTTTTTTTATGTGAGTCACCACCACAGCATGGCCACTGACCAGTGGTGTAGTTCCATACCTGGGAACTGAACCTGGGCCACTGAAGTGGAGCACACTGAACTTAACCACTGGGCTATGGGGCTGGCCCCAGTAGTCTTTAAGTTTGATCATGTTTTCCAGTATACATTTCACTTAGCTTTCAACTGAGATTGTTTTCATCATTATCAACTGTGTCTGCCAGCTCCTAACTAACCGGGGAAGGAACTGGGTATGAGATGGGTGAAAATGATGATGTGAAGAGAGTAGCAGGCTGCATGAGTTAGGATTTTAGGGTGGCACTATACTATTTGGTGGAGGGTTACAGCTAAATTGTTCTTTCTTTTAGGAGAACATGGACAACAACTGCCACATCTGTGACATTAATCGTGGGCAGATCATCATTCTGGACCCTCTGGTCCACAAAGTCTGCCTTGAGGCCCTGTTGGAGAACTTTGCCAGTCATTTACATACTTCAAGATGCCTTGGGACGTCTGCGGGATAAAACACAAAACAAGTTGTTTAAGAAGATAAATAAGAATTGTATCTTTGTATGCTGTGCTTGCTGATTGACGGAAGCTTCACAGCTACAAATGGGAACCTGACCAGAAATGGTACAAAGTTATCTACCGTCAGGGAGGATCTAAAGAACCAGGACCCTGGATACTCTAGGTCAGTGATGAGAGAGGCTGATTAAGGGGATGTAGGTTGGGAGATGGATGTAACCATTCTGTGTAGTAAGTCCTGATCATACCGGCTTTGTACAGATTAGTATTCATGTAAAGAAATAAGGCTAGATTGATGGTGCTGTTTCCAGTGGGTCACCAAGTGTTAGTAGGCAAGACATTTTCCTATTTATGCCCTAGTTTCCTATTCTGTTGAGTGAGGACGTTGTATTAGTTTTATCTCTAAGGACCTAAAAGCTTCAACTTTGTACATTTCTAAGCTCTGTAGAGAGTGTTTCTACAGCTCATTAATTTGAACCTTCCCCTAAGTCTAGCACGGTACTCAGTTAATACTTTTTTATGGCATTTATATGGTTTCCCTCTTGTTTTTTGTAGCTCCTGATTGTTCCCTTCGTATCTGCCGCATCATCCTTCCCAAAAGCAGTGCATAGAGTGAGAAATTTGAATACACCAAAAGATCAACGTGCCTGACACTCTAGCATTTTAACATAGCAGAATGAAGTAAGTTGTTGATGTTGTAATCCCGTGAGGATCACTTTAGAGCTAATAGGTGTTTGTTGGGGGTTTGTGTGGGATGGGCTATGGTGATCTAACATGGAGGGTGGGGCAAACATGAGATGGGAGGATGATCACTAATCAGTATTATCAACTGAGTTCACTGAAGGAACTCAAAGATATTACGGTCTACATACCAGTTGTGTCACAGAGTAATTTAGTTTCAACTAACCTGTCCTTTATCTTCACTGCCTAGATCCTTTGCCACTCTTAAAGGCCTAAACATATGGAAACCAAGATAAAAAAGAATTTTTGTTTGTTGCTGAGAGAGTGGCCCTTTCTCACCCTCTATTGTGAGAGAATCTATCTGCAGTTAAGATTTAGCGTTAAAGGAAACCCAGTCCCTGAAGCTGCCATTGTAATTGTGAAGGGTGTGAAAATCAAGTCAGTTTTCTAAAGGGATGGGGAAAGGTGAAGCTATATAATGAGGAGATTGATCAGATGCTCTCTAAGGGCTTTTTATTATAATATTCACTCATCTGTGGCATCTCTTTTGGCTCTCTGGAAATCCTTGTAAACAGTTGTAGCAGAATGTTAAGAGGCACATGTTCTGTGTTTAAATCCTCTGCTACTCATTAGGTGGATGGCCTTTGGCAATTTAGAGTCTCTGTTTAGACTTGTCTGTTTGTGAAGGTTAAATGAAATCATGTATGTACATTGCTTAGTATAGTGCCTGACATATGGTAAGTAAAAGGTAACCCAAAAAGTTTTATTAGTTCGTGTGACACAATGCAAACGACCACTAAGACTATCAAGTGGCAGGTAGAATTAGCATGTTTTGGTTCTGTGTAAGAAATTCCTAAGGTAAAAGTTTGTAAGTGGAAGAACATCTATGTTGGTGATTGTTATTGTTATAATTATTATTATTGTCAGTAATATAAGTAGTATTTGTAGTAATGATGGCTTATTGTAATTACTAATGCACTTTTTGGTTTTCTTTTGTTGTCTTCTCTTTGTGATGTGCCTGTTGTGCCCCTCGCTGTATCTTGTTTCTTCTACCTCCTACCCTCTTCCTCTGAATGTCTGCCTTTGCTTATCTCTTTCACTCAAAAGTGTGTATTTCTTTGCTTGTCTGTTTCTTCCTTGAACGTCTTTGGTCTTTCTTCTCTATCTAAAGTGTGTCTTACCCATTTCTATAATTCTCTTGTTAGTTTCTTCTCTGTGTATCTTTGTCTCATTGTTTCTTTTGTTGCTGAGTGGTCTGTGCCTTGTCTTAGATCTCTCTCTCTCTCTTTTCATTTTGTTACTGATTCCCTGTGCTCTCCTAGATCTGGCTCTTCTTTCACTGTTCTTCCCTTTGTGTCTCTGAGTCACATGCTGTGTGCTTTTTGCTCATTACTTGTTATGTCTACCTCTCTTCTTTTTCTCCTTGTGAATTCTGATTGTTTGTCACTTTCTCCCTTTCTTGTTGGTTTGACATTTCACTTTTTTCTGATTCTGGCCTCCTTTCTGCTGTTTCTACTCCTTATCTTGCATTTCTCTTTTCTACATATCCTTTCTGCCTCTCTTGGGCCATTTTCTCTCTTTTTTTCCTGCTTTGTGTGCTTCAGTATCTCTGCTCTTTGTGATTTTCCATTTCAGCATTCATCTCTCTGTTCTTTTGTTTCTTCTCTGCTTTTTCCCTTCTACTCACCTTTGAATATTTCAGTCTCCTCATGAGTCTGTGTCTCCCCTTCTTTGGTTTCATACAATCCTCTCGCCTTGCATGTTTATTGTGGCTGTGTATGTGTGCGTGTTTGTGTGTGCTTGTGACAAAGGGGCTTCCTAACCCCTTCCCAGTAGGTGCAGAGTGTCAGCTATCAAAATAAGTACTGCAGCACTGTTCCTTCTGCCACGCTGCCCTGTGAGACGATCCAAGACCAATAGAAGGCCCAAGGGTCAAAACTGAAGGAAAGCTGAAGACCTAAGATGGACAGAAAGGGAAGGCCCATAATGGGTAGAAGGCCCAACATAGAAGACAGATGGTTTGAGACTTGAGTCCTAAAGACTAAAATGGAAAACCCATGTCCCACGATAGATGGAATCCTCAGGCCTGAGACCGTCAGAAGCCCTGAGAGCCATGATGTGCAGAAGGCGGCCCTTATTGTATAGAAGACCTGGCTGAGTTGGATGGAAGGCTCAAGTCCTGAGTTAGACAGAAGGCTGAAGACCCAGAATATGAGCGCCTGAAGGCCTGAGACCTAAGATACAATGCCTAAGACCTGCGATCAAAAGGCCTTAGCTTGACCACCTAAGACCCAAAGATAGAAGGCCCCAGACAGACTAAAGACCCAAGACGCAAGCCTCTCCAGAGGGACAGAAGGCCCCAGAGAGACATATATATCTCAAGACTAAATCAAGCAGGAAGCTGGAGGCCCATGATCTAAAACCCAGGAAGAATAGAAGCCCCAAGACCAGAGGAATTTCAATGATGAGAACCTGAGGCTCACCTCTTTTCTATTGCTATTCTTCCTATTCTTGGACATTTTCAGTTCTCTCTTTCCAGTTCTCATATCTCCATTTAAGCCCACTTCTTTTGAGATATCATTTTTGATGTTCCTGTTGCCTTAAGGAAACATATCTTTAGATCGGCAGTATTATGCCCGGGCCAATCTTAAGCCAATTTTTAGTCACAGTTTTGAGCCATTTATTAATTTTTTGGTATTTTTTTAAACTTCCATTTCTCTTCATCTCCACTCCACTTGAAAGAGACATATAGATGACACTGTATTTCAGTCTTCCCTTTTCCTCAGAAGCTCTAGGCTGACGAGAAGAGGAAAATATCAGGCTGTTGGGGGAAAAAACAGTGCCAGGCTATCTAGAGAAAATGTGAAGAGATGCTCCAGGCTAATGAGAAGAATTAGACAAGAAATACACAGATGTCCCAGCCTGCTAAGAAGCACCAACCAGCAACACCTTACTTCTTTGAGCTTGGGTGAGCAGGATTCCTGGGGTTTGGGATTCCTAGTGATGGTTACAAAAAAAGATAATTGGGCCTGGGACAGAGTGAGGCCCCAAGGAGACAGCCTGAACTCCCTGCTCGTAGTAGTGGCCTAATAATTTGGTAGACTTTGCCAACCCTGCCCCTGGGTTTAATACCCACCTCTAGGCTTAAAGGTGAGAGAACTTGGGAATATTTAGCAAGTTTAATCATTTCCTTGATTTTTTTCCCCCTTACCATGAGGGAAAAAATTTAAATGATTGAGAATATATATGAAAGCACCAAAAGACACAGAAAAAAGCAAGGCGTTCTCATTAATAGTGTATTGACGGCCATGCACAGCTAACATTTGAAAGTGTACTGTCAATTGTGAAGCGTTATGCAAAGCAGGGCTCATCACACCCTTTTTGTAAAGGGTAAATGTGAGATGGTAAACATTTTAGTTCTTTGTGGGCCATATAGTCTCTGTTGCATCTTTTTACAACCTTTAAAGAGACAAAATTATTCTTAGCTTGCGAACCAAGTGGATTTGGTCTGTGAGCCATAGTTTATCACCATGGATGTAAATGCCAGGGACTGTATACTGAATAATATTAATTTCTTTCTGTTCACCTGTCCCTGTGCTAGGCACTAAGGATGCAGTGATTATTTATGATCACATCCAGGTGACCCGAAGAAAAATATGTGAATGTGCCTTGTAAACTACAAAGCATTTAAAAACTTACAAATTTCAGAGTTGATGAATGAATATTGATTACGTAGTATATACATTCTACTGTGCTATGCACTGTGGATACAAAGATTTTAAAAAGTGTAAATAAAGTGCTTTATCAAAAGTATGTAATACTATGCAGATATTAGGAATGAAGTGTTTGATAAGTGAGTAATTCATATATTTGTGGCCATTGTGTTTCTGCTGCTGTGGCGATTTTGAGTAAAAATACAGTATTCTAGGTGGCAGAAAAGAAAACACCTAGAAACTGCTTTTAAACTATAAAATATACTGCAGACACAGGGGATTAAGCTATTGTGATCACTTGTAATGTGCCAGATACTATGCTAGGCACTACAGATGTCAAAAGAAAAAAAAATGTGTTCCCATTATAGAATTAAAAATTTCAGATAAGAAGTATGTATTAAAGTGCTTGGTAAGCTAAAGCGCTATATAAATACCAGTGGGCTACATGTTTATGAATGAATGAGTAAATATTAATTGCCTTTTATGTGCCAACTATTGTTTTGGGTACTGTGAAATCCAGGATAATGCTCCCAAGTTAGAAGAAGGAAGTTTTGTCCTATATTATTTAGATGTAAGGAATTAGATATTGTTTATTTTAATTAATCAAGACTTTACTGGTGATGTCAAATTAAATTATTACCAGTATATTTTCCTATGTTACAGGAAAATGTAATGAATGAGATTATACTTTCTAAACTATGAAGTGCTATATAAATGTAAGACATTAGATGTTTTCTCTGTGAATAAAACTTTGTGAGATTGGCATTGTCGCCACAAAATTGTCATTGTGTGGTTGACCCATTATGAGAAAGGTAATATAGTTATACAAACTGAGGGTTTAAATATTTGTTAAATGAATGAATTAATATCACTTGCCTAGTATGTGTAGTCATTGTTACAGGCACTAAAGATATACATAAATTTATAATTTTATTGTGCCTACAGCTGAGAATAAAGTATGTTAGCATTTTGTGAACTCAAAAGCACCATACAAAGGTAACTTGATTTTCTCTTTTGGTGCAGAGTATGTGGTTTATAAAATTTTATCATAGTTATCATTATACTATGAAAAAAAGTCTGAAAAAATTTGAGGAAGTATTGTTAACTATTCAACACTCTGATTATAATATGTAAAGGATTAAATAGCTGATGAATGCAAGGCTGGATAATAACTGTCTATTATGTGCCAATCTCCTTGCTAGGCATCAGAGTGTGAAGATAAACCATCTTTATTGTGTCCTGGGTAGCAGACAATAATGTATAAAATCAATTTATAAGTCTTAAACTACCATACATATATAAGCAATATCTGCTGAATGAGCATTAATTATTTACTCTCTCATCCCCAGAGATAGCAACTGGGGATGCAAAAATTTATTAGCATTATTATAGAACTTGCAGCAACAGAAATCTATGTGTAACTTTACAAAACTTACAATTTTATACAGATAAAAGGAATTAACTGTTGGCTTAATGAATGATTACTAATTACTTTCTCAGAACTGCACATAACCTAGAATATAAAAATGATTTTATCCTTATGGGGTGCTCACGGGAGGAAATGAGGTAATAGATGTGAGACCCAGACTAAAAGTTACTTAACCACTGCTAAGCTTATTCAATGATGAAACCATGGGAGAAACAGAATTGTGCAAGGCAGTATGCTAAATGCTGAGCTAGGTGGAAAGATGAAATCCAGGTCAGAAGGCTACTTGCTCCTTGGCCTGAGTGAATAGATGGGATTTCTTTTAAAAAAAGCAACATGTTGTGGTTCTCCATCAGTTTTTTAAATGCTGAATGCTGAAGATGGAGGTGAATTAGATCCACCTTGGCCTGGCTTAGAGATGTTAAAGGCATAAAAATAAATGGCTCTGGTTTGCTTTTAGATTAATTTAACAGAGCATCTTTTATGTGGAATACATCATTCTAGGTCCTGAGCATAAGAGAAGTGAAATGGGCCTAGTCTAAAGAGCATTAGATCACAGACCATAGCTGAAGATATGAAAACATGTTTGATTTTTGAGTAAATATTTGAATGCATGTTCTCTGGAAGGTACTATGCTATATGAATTAGTTGAATAGGTTTGGTCCAGAAAAGCCATGGATTTGCCTTGGAAATTAAGAAATAGGATAAAAAAAGGCATGGTTCTTTCATTATAAAATGAAGACGTTTTTCCTAGTTCTAGAAAGTCCTAACATCACTTGTTTATTGACCCAGTTTGAAGTTAGGAGACTGATAAAAGGGCTCAAGTTTTATCCTTTAATTCATTAGTTTAACGTTTTCCTTTTATTATAGTTAAATGGTTTAAGATGAGAATTAAGATGAAACAACTGGTTTTAAAAGTATTTGCTCATTGGCTTGGCTTAGAGTCAAGAAGCCACTTGAGCAATAAAAAAGATTCTAGATATTCCGTATTTTGTAAAAATGTATTCACTCTGAATAAAGTACTCTTCTTAAGTGCTGAGGAGAATGAAGAGATTTAAAAGACCTAGACGAAAATGCACTTTAAGCTCACTAGCTTATCGTGGAAACACAAGAAGAAATTTAATAAGAGACTACAGTTCTTCATTAGTTGAAAAAACTTAATCATTGAGGAGCAGTGATATTAAGACACTGAGAAGGAATGATTAAATAGATTACCTTCTCTTTGGCATGTTTCGTAGAGTGGGAATAAGAGAGAACTTTTTCTTTATTCATTCTTAGAAACATTGAAGAAGGTGATGCTAAATGAAATAGATGTGGTACAAAAGGCGCTTAATCTGTCTTGGAGATGCAATTAAAACAAAGAACAAATGGAATGAAATTCTCCACTAAGCAGAAGTGTCTGTTTCCAGGCATTGTGTTAATTCCTAGACAGAAAACAAAAAAGATCTTGACTGAAAGACACTTGCTTTTTAATTGGCTTGGAGACTAGAATATAAGAGAGGGGTTACTGTTCATTCATTTTTTAATTTATTCATTCATTCTACAAGTATATTTGAGTGCCTATTGTGCATAAAGTTCTTTGCTAGGTTCTCAGTTGGCCCCAGAGACATGAAAAAATGAATACTTCCCCAGAGAACTTTTAAAACTTTGCCTTTGGTCTGGTTTCTGGTTAGGGGCATAGCTTAGTCCCAGAATAACATCGTGGGGCTTAATTCCTACTCCATATTTCTTCTACCACTCTGGCCACTACAATAAGCAGGGTTTTCTACTGAGCTTGCTCCTTAAGTTGCAGGAACCCTCCTTATAATAGACACTTCATTCTTCCTAGCCCATCCCTCATGAAAAATAGCTGTGACCAGTGCTGGTCAGAAGGAGGGATAACAAATAATTTCCAAACCCCAGTGTCATTGGTACCAGCCTTGGGAAACCACTCATACTCGAGCCACAAGTGGTTTTGAAACAAATTTACCAGTTTTGTCTATTTTTAATTCTTTACGTTTACATTCTGAAAAGTATACACTACCTAAATAGATCTCTTTGAAGAACAGTCTTCAGATAGTACATGGCAACACTGGTGATGGAGACATGATTTCTCTTTTGCAACAGCTTCTTAACTTACACCTTAGAAATCTCCTCACCATCAAAACCTGCTCAAGAAAGGACTTGTTAGGGTAGGATAATGTCAGTGAATGAAAACACCTTAACAATTTTACTATGCTTACGTTTTAAGAATAATAAAAGTTAGAACTAATTGGCAAAAATTGGAGGAAAAAAATACCAAAAAAACCCCGCTAAATCTAGGCCTAACTGGGCTTTGACCTTTTCTATTTTTAAATCACTCACAGAGGGTGGGATAGGAGGCAGAGTGAAAGAAAAGGTCAAAGCTATTTCTAAGGGCAGCCTGCCTTGGTTCTGGATTGGTCTTAAGAGCATTACTACCTCCAGATGTAACTTGGGGATTGCTTTTTCTGGTTTAATGCAATTCCAGTAACTGGTCACTGTTGAGATAAGGACAAATTCCTTTGTCCTCACTCATTTTTGTAAGTTTTGGGGAAACAATTTTTGGCTGAATAGTTATCAACTAAGCCTTGGGTTAGATAATTATGGGATTTATTAATTAAATCAGTGTGACCTCTCTATCATAAGGTTGTCTTAAAGCTGAAGTCAAAATTCACTGCAAAGAAAGAGGACTTTATGGTTCACTGTAATTGATACATACTTTAAAAGCATCTAAACTTTAGTTTACATGGCAAACCAATAATAACATCCATAAGTGCAGAAGGAAATTGATGAATGGCAACAGAATATTGGTGGAGGGAGCAATATTGAGGAGGATTTGGGTGTGATGTTTCTAGATTTTGCTTTGTACATTTTTATTTATGCATGAGAAACATGCAAAATATTAATACTGTTTGGCTTTTGATACATGGCATCAGCTGGACTCAGTAATGCCCCTTTCTCAGGTGGGGTGGGGGGTGCATTATTGGGAAGTGGAAAGGAGAAAGTAACTAAAAGCCTTCCTTTCGCAGTTTCTGGCATCCTAAGACTACCACTACTGATAAAACAAGAATAAGAGAACATGCTATCATCATCTGATTTTTGTGGCATAAATGAAGTTGTGAACCAATCTGCTTTTAAAGGAAATGACTTCGTCTCTACCCTTCGACCTCAAAGGGAACCTATGCCAAAATGCTCTGATAAATGGAAGACACACTGACTTATGAACTGATGTGAAATTCAGAATCTCTGGGCCTTGACGTTTTGTAACGATTGAAAAATCTTGCTCAAGATGAGTGAACACCCAAAAGCAACTGAGACAAATTGGGGGGTGTGTTGTCTAATGTCAAATAAAATGTACTGTTTTGAAAACTTTGTATTTTGATATAAGTTTTACTTCACTGTCCCTTCCTAATCATAACAGTTACCTAAAAAAAAAAATTTCTTTTTCGCTACCTTAATCACCCAGCTTGGGTAAATGATTTGAGATCTCATTTCTTTCTAGCTTCAGTTGCTTTGGTTAGAGATTACCGAGAAGCACAAACCCAATAAATACATGTGAGAAGCAAAAAAACTATTGAGGAACAGGGGTGGGATAGAAGTAGGGCATAAAAAAACTATTAAGTTGTGAGAAGTAGGATATATTCAGGAAGGAAATCACTGTAATTAAAGAAGTTAACAGGTCCAATCCGTGAATAGATGAAGTGATCTTTAGTGTTCCTAGAATTTTGCATGATTAAATAACCAGATGTTAGATTGGTGACTTCATAGGCATGTGACCTAGTGCAGTGTTTATAGGCAGGAGTTTCTACTCCTTTGCTTGCAATTAGGGTGGCAAGTACTATCTTTGGCAGAAAGCCTTAAGCTGCTCTGTGCTAAGTATTCAGTACATGTGCTTTTAATATTGATGCCAGTAAATGTGCTTGTAATATTCATGCCTGAAGAACTCTTGCTTTATGTGTTTCAGTCAAATCTTCTTATAAATGAGTAGGGTGTGAGGTGATAAAATTGACCCATATCCTGGTGTGTTACTTCTGAAGAGGAGTGGGTCTGGGTAGACTTTGCTTATTTCTTTTTCCCTTCAAGGCTAGTTGTGTGGGACAGGGGAAAGTAGGTGGGAAAACCCAGTGGAGAGGTTAGAAAGTTCCTCATCAAGTTATCCTTGGGTGTAATCCGTGGCTCTGACTCGGTTGGCAGCTCTGATAACCAGGGCCTGACTTCACCAGTCCCCTTGTCATATTTGCTGTGCTTATGCTTAGGTTTGTGGTACCCTTGGTCCTCAACATTCTGATTCTGTGGTGTAATCCTTTAGTAGAGAGGAAATGAAAAGCACCATGTCTTCTGGTTAGTGAAGAAAGGTCAGACATGGCAGTTTTAAAGGGACAGCAGGAGTATTTATAAAATGTCAAACCATTTGACAGTATATTCCCCGCTTTTGTTCTTTTTATGGGGTAAGGATGGGGTGACCACTGTGCGCCCCTAGTTATGTTTGTTTTGTTCCAGGCCAAGCCATACCCACAGATTAATTTGTGCCTCTTGTCAAGTTACTCTTCTTCCCTTGATCATGAGACGTTTTCCTCCTTTATGTTTCTTTGGAAAAGGCAGTGTTACTGGGACTAGGAGACTTAAGCAATCTTCTATCATTTGCATTTGAAAGTTGTATAGTTTAAATTGGGTCTAAAATTGAGCCAGCCATTCTATTTACTGTGAGCGAATGAGCAGGAAAACTTCTAGTTATAGATGCAACTTCTAAAAAAGATGAAGGGGGCCAGGAAAACCAATTGAAGAACCAATTGAAGTTCCTAGGAATTATACAAAATGACGGACCACCAAGACAGTTACATGGTTGCTAGGCAACCATAAGACTAGGTCTCACACCTTTGACCTCAGCCATATTGCTTCCCTGGGCTTGGTAAAGGTGACCTTTTGAGGGGTTCTTACTGCCAGTTGTCCCTGGTTTTGCCACAGTCTTTCTCCCAGCACCAGCATTCCTAATGTTCCATTTACCCACTCGGGTTTCTTTTGCATGTGTACTCTGTTTCAAAATCGTGACTCTTCTCTAGAGTGGTAGAATGAATGCATGCCCTCATGATTTGAATGCACAAGGAAAGATGGGGGAAAAGGGAACATAAAGTAGGGTGAGAAAAATAGAGATTTGAGCAGCCTTGCAGGTGGGTAACTAAGATAGAACCTGTCACTTTTGGGGGAATGCGGTGAGGAAGCAGTATTTGTGGGTAGGATGAAAAAACTTTTGTTTCTCTGGAAGAAAAGTACGTGGAGTGGAAGAGGAACGTAACAGGTAAGATGAGCTGTGAGGACCTCACTTTTGTAATTTACAAGAAACGATTAGATATATCCCCCAGGCCTAGAATAAACTTCCACCCCTTTTCCTTTCAGAATTGTTTTAACAGTCAGTCCTTCTGAAAATATCCCAGGAAGACCAACTGCATTATAGTGAGAATAGAGGAAGAGATGTGGGATCTCCCTATGGCAATGAACTATTGTGTCCTCCTCCCACTCCCTGGGGACATTTGGCAATAGTGCTTGAGATCGAGAACCTGCTCTTCTATTACTATGCAGATAGTGTCATCTGCATAGCGTGGTGGTTTTACTCCTTCCACTTAAATTCCACTGGATTTTATTTTGTTTTGGTGCACAAGGGAGTTACCCCTGTAATTCTCATTAGAGTAGTTAGAATTGTGTATGTAAATGCTCATAATAAAGATGAAGCATCTGAAGTCCAGAGAACATGACCTGCTCAAAGTCACAATGCAAATACAGCTGAGGTGAACCTAGATCTAAGGTCACTTGATTTCTAAACTAGTGCTTTTCTCACTACATATTCTATAAAGCCTCGTTTCTGAGAAGGAATACATTACCAGCAAAGAGTTTGGCTTATGAGTAGTTTATAGTTGGGAATAGGTCTCCCTAATCATAGCTAACCTCCAGAAGACTACTTCCTGTTATTATGCTTATAGGGAAGTAAAGTCACGGAATATCCCGAGGCAGGGATTATAGTGATTGTGAGAGCAGGCTTAGGAATCATATTACCAGAATTTGTATTTTGTTATTGCCACTTACTGAATATAAAGTCACTAAATCTCAGCTTTTGAGTCCTCATCAGTAAAATGAGGATGGTGATAGTACCTGTCTCTTAGAGTTGTAGTGTGTTTTAAATTAAAAAATGCACGTAAGCACAATTAGTGTTGTCACATAGTAAGCAAATGAATGCTAGATATTGTAATAACTTTAACTATATGGTTGACTACCTTTTGGTGATTCACCCTGGCTCATTATAAATTAATTCCTACTGGGAATGGGGGTCGGAAGACGTGGTGAGCATTTTCCTAAGGAATGGCCCAGAAAGCCCTGGAGAAGCCACTGTTTGCCCACGATCTTCAGGTTATTTTTATGCATGTGCTCATCTTGGACCTGTAGAGAAGAACTTGCCATTTTTTCTCTTTGTAACTACATAGTTCCAAGGGGACAGATTCTATTCAAGTGAGAGAATTGTGAAAAATATGTGAGCCTTCCTATCAATGAGAGGATTTGAAGCTTGGAGGTTTTTTTTTATATCTCCTCTCCATGTGTGAGCCACATTTTATCTCGATGCAGGGAACTGCCTAGCAAATCTTATAGATCAATTGGAAAACAAATGCAGTGATATTCAACTCCTTTTGAGAACGAAGCACCTCTAGTTAGAATGAATCTTCCAATTTTAGAATGGGATTGAACCTAGAGTTGAAAGTGAAGGAGTTATGAGGGATTTCCTTTTGGCACTGATAATTAATTTCTAGTCCTGAAGACATGAACAAAAATGGATAGTTAAGGATCCTCTTACAGAGGATCATAATCTTTGCTCTCCCAGACACTAGAGAATCCTGCAAATAATGCCTCCCACTCCACCGAGTGAGGGTGGTTGTGGCTCAAATTGAATTCCTAAAACAAAGCAATCTGAACAGCTTGAAGGAAGATAGGAAAATATTCCATCCATCTCCCTTCTCCCAATTCTGGCCCCAAGCCTCCCCTAGCTCAGAGAGGTAGGGTCTGAAGCAAGCAAAAAACAATTTTTCTTCTATTACTACTAGTCTGCTGAAACTTACCAAAGTACTCTTTGACCCCTCCACTTTCTCTTTACTCCCTTTTTTATATCCATTTTTGTGACTGTTAGTGTATCACTACAAAACAAGAAGTGGCTGTGAGTAGGCAAGGATTGAAATGTGGAGCTGGCAGTCTGATCTAGAACCTTACTTGCACTTGCTCATGGCTAGAATCTAGTCATTGTACTGCTCCAATCATGGCCTATAGTACTCCCAGGTGCTACTGCCTGAAGAACTGGAGGCCTTGTCTGGCATAGTAGCCCATGGTATTTGGCTTGTGGACATAGGAGGATAGTTGAAACCTGAGTCTGCAGGGAGGTAGTAAGACCAGGAGGGAGAGGCAGTTGTCAGAGTACCTTGGAAGATATCATTTTATAATCCCAAATCTATCTTCTTACTGTCACCCCTTTCTGGCTTGAATAATCATTGGAAAGAATGGATGTTAGCTGGGAATTAAGTTACTCTTGAGCTATAAGAAGTGGTGAGAAGAGAATAGATATGGATTCTAGCTCTCCTCCCAATACAAAGCTGTTGCCTCCAAAGGGAAGAGAATGAAGAAGAATACAGCTGGCACTGACTAAGATGGGTTCAACCACACTCCGATGAAAGAGACTTTCTGTAAAAGCTACTATCTGTTTTTTGATATAGTAACTAGACATCTATTTTTGGGTTCTAGGACAAGGGCTCTGGCCATGGGCAGCTAAGGGCCGAGAAGCAGGACATGAGATATGGGACTTTCTTGAACTATAGCCAAATGGAAATGACCACTGGTTACTGTAAATGGCAGGTTGGCTTTGGAGAGAACCCAGAATAAATAGTAAATCCCATTATTCTCAGCATAACAGAGTCTTCTGGAATTCTACAAGGTTCATAAAAAAATAGCTCCAGTAGCAATAGCCCCATTATGCACAAGGTTGGTTATCAATCGGTTAGATTGGTTACCAGTTCCCAAGGTACAAGAGTCATACCATTAGCTAATCAGAAAAGGCTAAGCAAATGCCAAAAGAGGAGAAAAAGGTCCAACCAACTATGACTTCCCTTCCAAATCTAGTCTGGAATCAGAGGTCCCTTTATTTCTTCCTTTCTCCCTCTTGCCCTTTCCCTACTTGTTAAGAGAGTGCAGTGGCCAGAGAAAGTCTGGATATCTACAAATAGCCCGTAGATCAAGTAGTGAACAAATACACTGCATGGAAAAAAATAGAATAGTCCCTTCTAGTCAATATCAGGATTATTATGCTAAGTCAGGCACTTGTCCCATCTTATGCCATTCTTAATCA